TTTCATAGTAGAAAGTCAGTAAATATTTTCTTAAATTTTAGAAACCAAAATAAAAGTATATGTATAATATTTTTACTGTGGATACAATGCCTAAAAATGGCTAAAAGTTTATTAAAATAAAAAAGAAACAAAAATGGGAAAACTGGAGGCAGGGATTGTGGCTCAACAGTAGATTGCTCGCCTAACACAGGTGGGGTGCTAGGTTCGATCCTCAGCATCACATAAAAATAAAATAATGGTATTGTGTCCAACTACGACTAAATCAAAAATTTTTTTTTTAAAAAATGGGAAAACTGGAGACTGAAAAAAAATGTTACCTATAAGGAAGATAGAAGTGGAATGAAAGAAGTAGAAGATGCAGTGACACTTCTTTGAGTGTATCTTTTTGTATAGTTTACAAACATACAAATATTTTACTTATAAAATAAAATTAAATTTACAATTATGGGAGAAAACTCTAAAATTCAATACTATAAAAATTGAATTGTAGGTACTCTTATAAACAACCATATTATGAAAGACAAAGAAAACCTGAGGACCTCTTCCAGATTAAAGGTTTCTAAACATGACCTAACTACTGAATGCACTCTGAGGTTTTGAATTTGATCCTTAACTGGAAAAGACATCCTTAAAGTAAAAATCCTTTGGGTAACTGGTAAGATTTGAATATGGATTATAGATTGCATAATAGTACTGTAGCAAAGTCAAAGTTTCTGATTTTCATATTTGTATTGTGGAATAGCCTTTCTTTCTTTTTCTCCCCGCTACCCTTTTTCTTTTTTTTTTTCTTCTGTGGTACTAGTCATTGAACCCAGGGCCTTGCTCAAGCTTGGCAAGCACTCTACCCAGAGCTACATCATCAGCCCTTTTTAAATTTTATTTTGAAACAGGGTCTTCTAAATTGTCCAGGCTGGCTTCAGATTTGTGATCCTCCTGCCTCAGCCTTCTGAGTAGTTGGGATTACAGATGTATGCCACTGCATTTGGCCTGTAAAATAACCTTGTTCTTAAGAAATTTAGAGGGGCTGGGGATATGGCTCAAGCGGTAGCGCGCTTGCCTGGCATGCGTGCGGCCCGGGTTCGATCCTCAGCACCACATACAAACAAAGATGTTGTGTCCGCCGAGAACTAAAAAAATAAATAAATATTAAAAATTCTCTCTCTCTCTCTCTCTCTCTCTCTCTCTCTCTCTCTCTCCCTCTCTCACTCTCTCTTTAAAAAAAAAAGAAAGAAATTTAGAGGTAAATGGACATAATGTCTGAATTTACTCTCAAATGGTTGAGGAAAAAGATGTGCAGGCAAATGTGTACACACATGGAGAGAATGCACACACAAATGTGGCAAAATGTTAAGTGCATAATGTAGGTGAGGAATGTAAGAGTTATTTGTATTATTTTTACAGCTCTTTTGCAAGCTCAAAATTATTTCAAAAAAGTTTGTTTTTAAAAAAATGTGTTTCTGGTTTCTTCCCTGACACATTTATTTTCCTTCTCCCTCCCACTCTCAACCTGGGCTTTTCGTGGCTGAGAGTTTATGTAATCTTGAACTTTACTGGTGAAGTGACATGAGGGAGATGGAAATTAGTATCACTTAGTATCACTTATAATGATCTGACTGAACAGGAAACATGGCTGTTCCGTATCTTCTTTACCTGATAAAGGGCCATCGTACAAGGTCTGCCCACCTCCCTTGTGGAGGGACAGGAAGTGTTTTAGTTACAGACCTCTCATCATCATTATTTACTCTTAATTGGTCATTGGTAAGTTGGAAGAACAAACTGGGAATTACAACAGGTAGCAAGAGAGACACACATCCATATTAGACACTCATACTCCTTCCTTTCTATAAAGGTGTGGGCATACAAAGGTGTGGACCCTAACATGGATGGATCTAACATGATGACTTCTTATTTAAACACTTAGCACTTGGCCACTGTGTGGTTACATTTCTTTAATATCCAGAATACTATTAGGACAATACAAATGTTTTGCTGTAGTTCCAGTATTTACAGAAGACAACTGGATATTCCAATGCAGAGGTTTAGGTGCAGATTTCACAATTACAAAAAGCCAACATCACCTCAAAGGACATTCACCAAAGGAGCAAAGCAGAGGCCAGGGATATTGACTAAATGCTTTGTTTAACCAAAAGTTGTACAGAAAACAAAGATTCCATGACAGGCCATCACATTCATAGCTGAAGAGAAACAAATCACATTGTTAGCAACAAAACAACATTCAGCAGACCGTCAAGCTGTATTTACGGTAGGCAGAGCTTGGGAGACTGGGGGCATAGAAGGCCTAAGATTGAAGTCAGCTCAAGCCCCATTCACATATGCACCCAGTCCCTTTTGTTTACAGTTGGATCTGTTCGTTCTGGGGACTCCACTCAAGGACCTACTCTAGAGAAGTCTAGTTTTCCTTAGTAGTTTGGGGCATTTTTTTTTTTTTTTTTGTCTATATCAAGGGGCATGGATATTCTGCAAAACTGGGGCCTTCCAAAGCCAAGGATAAAGAAGGAATACAGCACACCATCCCTGATCCAGTTCTGCATTCTTTTGTTTGAGTTGGCTTATCTCTCTACTATGAACAATGAATGCCCAATATGGGCTTAAACTGCTATTCTCATGGAGTGATTTTCATTTTTGTCAGGAACCAAATCCTTAAATGGAAAGAATCAACCATTTATCTAGAGTTGGTGGAGTAGGTTTGCTTATGAAGTCTCACCCTGTTGATATCATGTAGGCCTGGGAGCCTCTGTTCTGAAGAACTGAGCCAATTAGTTAATATTCTCCACTAGATTCTTGGCAGGTCTTAACATGCCCTTCACAAAGCCTCAGCAGCTATGGTGCTTCCAAGCTGTTTCATCCCAGGGTCAAGTCCCTACAGGGCTGGAAGAAAGGCCTGGGTGGACCAGCCTTGTCCTCGTGAGAGTCTCCCACCTTGAAGCCTCCTTGGCACATCACCTAGAGGATTACTCTTCAGGGGTAGAAGCTCTCCTTGTATTCAAGTATATAACTAACTCCCAGAACAACTAAAGGGGCTCTTTCTTCCATTTTCTTAGCAAATGAAGCTGGAAAAAAAAGCTAGCCTACATTAAGTCAAATGAAGTCTGGAGCTTTTCACTCATAGCAGCTGATATAGTCAACCTGTTGAAGACTGGGCTTCTGATGGGAGTGCCTCATCTCTGAACTCTTTGTGCACCACTGTGCTGATTTCTTTGTGGATCTTTCATTAATTTTATGATCTATTTTATAGTTTCAATTTCTTATACATTATTTTATTTTCAGAAGCTTCAAAGAAGCATCTTAGATTCAGTTTGTTTGGGCTGGGGATGTGGCTCAAGAGGTAGCACGCTAGCCTGGCATGCGTGCGACCCGGGTTCGATCCTCAGCACCACATACAAAGAAAGATGTTGTGCCTGCCGAAAACTAAAAAAATTAAATAAATAAAAATATTAAAAAATTCTCTCTCTCTCTCTCTCTCTCTCTCTCTCTCTCTGTCTCTCACTCTCTCTTAAAAATAAAAATGCCTTATTCTTAAAAAAAAAAAGATTCAGTTTGTTTATATATATATATAAATTTCAGTTAAATTGGTTTTTAATGATCCCAATCCTCTAATGTGTGTAACTTTTATTTTTATGCATTACTATGACCTGTTTTTAAAGATGAAGGTTTCACTTTTTTGTTATGTTTTGCTGCTGGAGATTAACTCTAGACAAATGCTCCCACATGCTAGGCAAGTGCTCTACTACAGAGCAACACCCCTCTAGCTGAAAATTTTGTTTTTAAGTTGGCTCCGATGAACCTCAGTTGGGCTTTTCTGGGCTTCTCATCTTTGACTGTATTTGGCAAGGAATGAATAAGTAAATAATTGCTGCATCCCTGTTTGAAGGACCTTTAGAAAAATAAAGCTTTTCTCTTCTGTGTGCCCTACATAGCACTTCTGCCTGGAGGCAGCACAGTGACCTGCCTGTGCCTGAATGTCATCTAGGGGTCTGCATGAGGGAAACTGGGGACTTTCCAAAGGGCTCCTAGAGAAATTCAAAAGCCCAAAGTGAAACCGAATCTATTTTTCCAATTTGCTTCAGTTTTGTCTTGTGAAGAAATTATAAAGCAAGCTCTGGAAAAACAGTATAAAAGAACCATGATTAAATATCCTAGAGAAGATCTTTACCAATGAAGGCTGTTATACTACTAGTCCTCCTACGAACATAGCACAAGTAAATAGCTTCATATGGGCACAAAATAGAATACACAATATATATTTTTGGCTTTATCTAAAAGAATCCCACTGGTAAAAATGAAAATAACTGACTGTAGAGACTAAATTATCTTTATTTGCAGAATAGGTGCCCCTCTAAAGCACTGGGTATTTACAGGTCCCAGTATCTTTCTGGACTCATAAGAGGAACAATGGTTCCATGGAGATTGGCATGGTTTGAGTGGGCACAGTAATTGGCATGGTCATGACAGGAAAGAGCAATAGCTTCCTTCAGATGTAGGGTCAGGAAAACATAACACAATAGAGTCTACATAATAGCTGCATAATAAATACTGATCAGTTTATGAAGAAGACATTCTTAGAAGTCAGTTGAATATCACTCTTCTTAATAGATGATACTGACATTCTCCTGATTCTTACTGGTACAAGACAACTTCGTAGACAAATATTGCACAAAACTCTATAACAGGTTTCCACAGGGGAGGGTTTCCATCTGGTCTCTGATGTTCCCCACAGAAAACTAGATAAATGTTTCCATAGGTCATTGTTCCTTGTGACCTGAGTGTGCTTCCAGTGAAAGGTCACGGTTCTGTCTACCTCATTGGTAAACTCTAGTGGTGATAGGCAAGAATCTTTTAGTATTCGCAGCAATTACCTCCTGTAACACCTTTCTTTTGGCAATTTAGAAAACTATTCAGGGACTCAAAATGACAGATGACATTTTAAAAACACATAAACAAGACATGGTCATTATTCTTTTGTGGGAGATGTGAACTCTTCAGGGTAGCTTGCTGTTCCCCTGCCAGTACAATTTCTCTTCCATTTTTTTCTTTTTCCATCGGCAGAGAAGCAGCATCTTAAAGGTCTTCCTGAAGGTTCTGTTGCAGAGGGCGTAGCAGATGGGGTTGACGGTGCTATTAACATAGCACAACCAATAGCCCAAGTGCCACAGGGTGACAGGGACACACTTGTCACAGAAGGTGGACACCAGGACCATGATGTTATAAGGAGTCCATGTGATGATAAAGGCCAGGAGAATGGCACTCAAGGTCTGGGCTGCTTTCCTCTCTTTGACAAGGACCATTCTCTTTCGTTTGGTCATTTGATGGCTGAGATTGGGATCAAGGCCTTTCGTTGAAGGGTCCTTGGACATTGGGAAGGAGCAAGGCATGATTTTCACCTTGCGACAGCCGTTGTTGGCCTCTTGGGTCCCATCAGCTTTTACCACCAATCGGAACTTATAGGCCACGCATTTTTGACTCTTGAGTTTATTAGCAGCTGCTGGGGACAGGAAGTATTTTGGGGTGTCACAGTCATTTTTTTCAGTTTGAGCTTTCACAAAAGTCTCCTTTGTCTCTCCAGCACTGAATTCTTCCTTTGGGCTTTCCTTCTCCTGACTCTTGTAGACCACTTGGAAGACAGGGTCAGTGGTGGCCTTGTCCTCATCCTCTGAGGAGGGGTAGCTGCTGCAGGTAGTGAGCTGTTCAGCTTTGGTCCAGTCAGTGGTTGGGTCAGTGGCTTGGGATGGCTTTCCAGTGGTGGAAGTGCTCCTGCGAGAGGATGACCAGGAGGCCTGGTTCCTTTCCCTCTGTGCCAGTGTAGGTTGAGGGCAGGTAAGGCAGGACCTGAGCAGAGCCCTATGAGCTGGCTTTCTCTTCCCGGCTTCAGCCACAGAGTCAGAACCCTGGAGGTCAGCCAGGTCCTTGGTTCGCTTCTCTGTTTCCCGGTAGATTCGGCAGTAGAGGATAGTCATGACGGAAACAGGGATGTAGAAGGCAGCAATGGCCGTGCCAAAAGTGATGGTGGGCTCAGAGAGGAACTGAATCTGGCACTCATCTGGTGGTACTGTCCGCTTCCCAACCAAGTACTGCCAGCAGAGAATGGCTGGGGCCCAGAGGATGAAGGAGATCAGCCAGGCCAAGCCAATCATGATGCCAGCCCGCTTTGGGGTACGCTTGGCCCGATACGTCAGGGGTCTTGTGATGGAAAAGTAACGGTCAAAACTGATCACCAGAAGGTTCATGACAGAAGCATTGCTGGCCACATAGTCCAGTGCAAGCCAAAGGTCACAAGCCAGACTCCCAAGAGCCCAGCGTCCCATGAGGATGTAGGTGGTATAGAGGTTCATGGAGAAGACCCCAATGATGAGATCTGCACAGGCTAGGCTCAGCAGGTAGTAATTGTTAACTGTCTTGAGCTGACTGTTGATTTTGAAGGAGATAATGACCAAGACATTGCCCACGATGGTGACTAGGCTGACCACAGCAGTCACAGCTGCGATAGTAATAACTTCCCATAGTTCATGGCGCTCCAAAGGCTGGTGATTTACCAGGGTGCTGTTAACCATGGTTGCATTGAAGTATGATTCACCTTCCATCCTGGTGCAAGAATTTGCATTGGGATTAATTCTTAGGTTCTACCTAGATGGCTCTCTGTTCTAAGTCACCTCTTATTGGCCAGTATCTGGAAGAGAAAGAAACACATTAGCTCCTCTCACCAGCATGACTCTTTTCCACCCATTGTTTATCTTTTCTAACAGAATATCAAATGTGGTTGCACATACATTTAGAGCAAGATGCTGAACTCTCTAAACTTTTGGTGATATTTTTATAAAGGCATTACCGTTTTGCTTTTTATGATAATGCATGAGTGCTCTCCTTCTATGTGAACCTGCTGCCCTCTTGTGTCCACTTTTTGAAAACTGACTGAGAAGATGTTGGAAAAGGAACAGGAGAGAACTGATTATCTGGGAGCAATAAGCAGGAATATTAAATGATCTTACATTGCAATAACCTCATAGCACAAAACCTGTTTTGTGAGCTTTGGGCAATTGTGGAGAGTGGTGACAGTGACTGGGAAACCAGTGTCTGAGATTGGGGTCCCTGATGACTTAATGGCTGTGGCATACTTGGTGACTGGGAAAGTTTTTGTGCAAAGGCATAGGCTGCCCAGTTGCTATGGAGATGTCCTCCATGCTAGAGTCTTATCAGCTTCGACCTTAATCTCAGGCACAGCAGCTCCTGGGAATGAAGGAACTTCCTTGCTAAGATAACAACATTTTACCAGTTCCGCTGCTCCTGAATCTACCCTTGAATTAGTAACTTTAAACAATGAACTTTCTTGAGAGCTGCATAATTCTCCTAACATTGCACATTGCAACTGTAGAATGTAACTGAGGAAACAGCTGCATACTGTTGCTAACTCTGTAACTTTCATGAATACAAAGAATAATACCTGCATAATCTTTAATCTGATTTAGAGACATATATAATAAAGATTGCTGGTGTAATTCTTTAGACCTGCTTCTCCATCAGAGAGCAGCATTCCATCGGACCCCCGCTTTATCTTCAAGATCTGCGTGTATTGACTCTTGATTTCTTCCAATCTCCCATAGCCCCTTGCTGGAACCTGATAGTTTGGCCGTGCTGGTTGGGACAGGTAATAAGTACCTAGACTGTGGTGAACTGGAGAAAAAGACAAACTGTATCTATTCTATACTTCCAGTCTTAATTATTAAGGGTTACTGAGGCACTATTGTGAGTCAACATGGCATGCAACACTTCTCCCTGCCTGAATGTGCAAATTCCACATACAGACCTGGTTTGCACCTTTTGAAATTTGCCCACTCCTGAAGATAATAACCCTCTCTCCATTCTTGACTATTATCAATATCATAGAATTGTCTTATCTTTTTTTCCTGATTACATAATAACACTCCTCATAAGAGTTTAGTCAATATTAAAATCTAAATGTAGAAATGTCTCCTCTAATCTCATCTTGCTATTGGGTAACCAGTGCAATAAGTTTAGTGTGAATTTTGGCAGTTTTTTCCCCACTATGCATATACTAATACCTATTTAGAGGTGCATTTTCTTTTTCTTTTTTCTTTTTGTTACCAGGGATTGAACCCAGGGGTATTTCCCCACTGAACCACATCCCTAGCCCTTTTTAATAATTTTTTAGAGACAGGGTCTTGTTGAGTTGTTTAGGGCCTCACTAAGTTGCCAAGGCTGGCTTTGAACTCATGATCCTCCTACCTCAGCCTCCCAGGTCACTGGGATTCCAGGCGTGTGCTACCATGCCTGGCTAGAGGTATATTTTTAATGTTTACACCCTGAATTTTGTTTGTCATCACAGACAGCTTCTGTATCCATACATCTAGAGCTACCTTTTTTTTTCATTCCAACAGCTGCACATTATTCTATTTAAATGGGTATATTTGAGAGTAGGTCTCTCAACTTCTTGCCCACGCAAGACAATCGGGTACCCGCGTCGGCACCATCAACACCTGTGCAGAACTATTGGCCACCCACCCCCAGCAGAAATCACCGAAGCCACTCCCACGCAGGACATCTGGCACTTCCCACAAGGCAGGAACTCCAGTCGCCACTCCTGTGTGGACCCCCATCGGGGGCTCCCCCAGTTGCTGCCATCTTGGGGCTCTGCAACGGTGGAGATACTGCACGAAGTGGCCTGCCTGCACCCATGAACTTCACACAGACTCTGAAGTAAGCCCACAGCCACACWCTACACGAGCTTTTCTCTGAACTCATCCTCCAACGTCATTGGTCGGCTCCCCCCCACACAATTTGACAGCCCACTGCTGAAAGCAGCATGGCCACCTTCATCACTCTCTTCAGTGGGGGGCAACACCCAGTTTGGAACTCCAGCCGGTCAGATACCCAGGTTCTAATTCCCCTGTTTCCCCAGCAGCCACTACCTGGCACAGTGACACCCYGGTTAATTTCACCACCCCAAGGGCAGAGGTACCAGCTAACAACAGATGACCCAACCTATTGAATGAGAAGGGAAGCAGGAAAGATTCGGATTTCCGACAAAACAATCCAGTTTCTTCCTTTAAGATTTTTTTCCTCCACCCCCTTCCCTGTTCTGCCCTCACATCTCCAACATATGTGTAACCAAGTACATTGCATGAAGTAGGATTTTGAGGACTGGGGCATCTGAATAAGATATTGCAGGGCTGGGGATGTGGCTCAAGCGGTAGCGGACTCGCCTGGCATGTGTGCGACCCGGGTTTGATCCTCAGCACCACATACCAATAAAGATGTTGTGTCCCCCGAGAACTAAAAAATAAATATTAAAAAAAAAATTCTCTCTCTCTCTCTCTCTCTCTCTCCTTTCTCACTCTCTCTTTAAAAAAAAAAGATATTGCAGCTGTGTTGAATATAAATGTATTTTCTTTTATCCCACCAATTTCTAATATTTTCACATTTTAAATTTTTCTCAATATATATGTGTGTTTGTTTTGTGTACTCTACTGTCGTCCCACTTACTTGTCTACCCAAAATTACTTCCTCTCCCTTCTCCTGCTACTAATATTCTTCTTTAGATTTCTCTTTCACACTTCCTAAGATATAATAACTATATCCTCACCTCCTACCTCCTCGGCATATCATCCTTCTCCTCACCTTCAGTTCTTTGTCCACCATCAGAAACTGTAAACCCTTTTACAAACCTACTGAGTATATTGTAGATAATAATTGAATTCACCATTTCTGTATATTGTGATGAAACTGTAAATGTCTTAATCACAAACATTTATTTTCAGTGTGAATACTGTTTATATTTGGATCTGATAACATTGTCCTTCACCTCAAAGGAAAGGTATTGGATCCCAACAGGGGCGCTATAAGCCTATAGGGTTAAAAATGGTAATACCCCAGATCCACAGTGCTAGAAGGGAAGACACACAAGCAATATGAAAAGACAAAGGAAGAAAGTGCCCCAAACATATCAAGATGCCATATTATTAGAATCCATGGCCAGCACAGCAAAAGAAACGACAGAGAAGGAATTCAGGATGTACACGATTAAAATACTCTGTGAATTAAAGGATGATATAAGAGAGCAAACACAGGCAGCAAAAGATCATTTTGACAAAGAGCTACATAAAACAAATACAGGAAGCAAAAGATCACCTCAATAGGGAGATACAGGTACTTAAAAAAAAAAAAAACCAGAAATCCTTGAAATGAAAGAAACAATAAACCAAATTAAAAGCTCAAACAGATTAGACCACTTGGAAGATAGAACCTCAGGCAATGAAGACAAAATATATAATCTTGAAAACAATGTAGACAACACAGTGAGAATGATAAGAAACCATGAGCAGAATATTCAAGAAATATGGGATAACATAAATAGAACAAATTTAAGAGTTATTAGGATAGAGGAAGAAATAGAGTTCCAAACCAAAGGAATGAGCAATCTATTCAATGAAATAATATCAGAAAATTTTCCAAACATAAAGAATGAATTGGAAAACCAAATTCAAGAGGCTTACAGGATGCCAAATGTACAAAATCATAACAGATCCACACCAAGCCACATTATACTGAAAATACCTAACATACAGAATAAGGAGAGAATATTAAAAGCCACAAGAGAAAGGAATCAGATTACATATAAGGAAAACAAATTAGATTATGTGCAGATTTTCAACCCAGACCCTGAAAGCTAGAAGATCCTGAAGCAACATATATCAAGCTCTAAAAGAAAATGGATGTCAACCAAAAATCTTATATCCAGCAAAATTAAGCTGTAGGTTTGATGATGAAATAAAAACCTTTCATGATAAACAAAAATTAAAAGAATTTACAACTAGAAAGCCTGCACTACAGAACATCCTCAGCAAAATATTCTATGAAGAGGAAATGAAAAAYAATGAGGAAAATTAGCTAAGGGAGGTGTTACACTAAAGGAAAAACTAATCAAAGAAAAAATCAAGTCAAGTTAAATGCCAAAAATAAATAAAAATGGCTGGAATACAAATCATGTCTCAATAATAACCCTGAATGTTAATGGCCTAAACTCACCAATCAAAAGACATACACTAGCAGACTGAATTAAAAAAAATACCCAACAATATGCTGCCTTCATGAGACTCATCTCATAGGAAAAGACATCCACAGACTGAAGATGAAGGGTTGGGAAAAATCATACCACTCACATGGACTGTGGAAACAAACAGGGGTTTCCATCCTCATATCAAATAAAGTAGACTTCAAGCTAAAGTTAATCAAAAGGGACAAAGAAGGACACTACATACTTCTCAAGGGAACCATACATCAACAAGACATAACAATTATAAATATGTATTCCCCCAAAGTTCATCAAACAAACTCTTAAGTTCAAGAGTCAAATAGACCACAACACAGTAATTCTGGGTGACTTTAACACACCTCTTTCACCACTAGATAGATCTTCCAAACAAAAGCTGAACAAAGAAACTATAGAACTCAATAATATAATCAATAACTTAGACTTAATTGACATATATAGAATATTTTATCTTCAACAATCGAATGCACATTCTTCTAAGCAGTACAAGGATCCTTCTCTAAAATAGACCATATA